ACGGCCCCAGGAGGGAGGTTGGATGCCCACGGCCCCAGGACATAAGGAGGAGGTTGGGTGCCCCACAGCCCTGGGGCTCTGGGAGGAGATGGGATGCCCCACGGCCTCAGGGCACCGGGAGGGAGCTGGGGTTGAGTCCTATTCATCCTCCTAGGGCTGCTGAGAGGATAGCTAAGATAGTTAGGAGCGTAGGGTTTAGTGAGGGTGAGGTTATGGAGAGTAGTGTGACTGGGGGAGTTTTATGACAGTAGATAGAAGGAGGCTGGTGGTGAGAGGAGAGCCTTGGAGTGCTTGTGGGAATCAGAAGTGGATTGGCACTAGTCCTGGTTTTATTGCAATTGCTGAGGTGAGAATCAGGCAGGATGTTGGGTGCAGATATCGGACCCAGAGCACCAGGAAGGAGCTGGGTGTCCATGGCCCTGGGGCACCAGGAAAGAGATTGGGTGCACCATGGGCCCCAGGGCACTGGGACGAAAGTTCGGTGTCCACGGCCCTGGGAGGGAGGTTGGGGGCCCCACGGCCCTGGGGCTCTGGGAGGGAGCTGGGTGTCCCACCAGCCAGGAGCATTGGGATGAATGTTGGGTGTGCACAACCCTGGAGCACCGGGAAGAGGTTGGATGCCCCACGGCCCCGGGGCTCTGGGGTGAACGTTGGGTGTCCCACAGCCCCAAAGCACCAGGAGAGAGCTGGGGTGCCCCATGGTCCTGGAGCTCTGAGAGGGAGGTTGTGTGTCCACAGCCCCAGCACACCAGGAGGGAGCTGGGATGTCCATGGCCCCGGGAGGGAGGTTGGATGTCCACAGCCCCAGGACACCGGGAGGGAGAGGGGGTGCCCCATGGCCCCAGGACACCGGGAAGAGGGTTGGGTGCTCCACGGTCTCAGGGCTCTGGAATGGAGGTTGGGTGCCCCACGGCCCCAGGATACCGGGAGGAGCTGGGGTGCCCCACGAGGGCCGAGCCGACACTAGATGTCAGTGCTTCTCCGGAGAAGCAGGACCGCGCCGTGGGGTGTGATGGAGGCACTGAGGCCACACCGACCACGGCCGGGTCGGGTCTCTCCAGCAGAATGGGACCAGTGCAGAGGGTGACAGGGAGGGAACCAGCCTCTGTAGGAGGACAGGCAGGGCTGGGGGGTCAGCAGGAGCGGTGAGATGCGGCAGGAGCAGCTGGATGGGGGCTCTGCCCCAGCAGCAAAGCCACCACGGCCTCGCTGCCCCCAGCTGAACGGGTCGGCCACGCTGAACGAGTTCGTGAAGCGGATCCGCCTGCCCTGCCCGCACATCGACCTGAAACCCGGCACTGTCTGCACCGTCATGGGCTGGGGGGACACCTCCAACTTCGGGGAGCAGCCCACGGAGCTGATGGAGACCAACACCACCATCGTCAAGAGGAGCCTGTGCCGGACGCTGTGGAGGGGCAAGGTCTCGGCCAACATGCTGTGCGCGGCCAGCCGCAGCACCAGGCTGCAGGGAGTCTGCTCTGTGAGTGCCCCCCGGCCCCTGCCCCTCACTGACCCCTCTGTGGGACCCCCAGATCGCCCTCACACCCCTCATTCTGCAGGGAGACTCCGGGGGACCCCTGGTGCTCAAGGACAAGGTCCATGGCATCGTGTCCTTCTCCGGGGAGAGGTGTGGGGACCGTCGGTTCCCTGATATCTACACCAAGATCTCCAATTACATTGACTGGGTGCATCACGTTGTGCGAGGGTTCCGCTCTCAGGAGGGGGGGCTGAAGCCCTAGAGTGGCTGGGAACCCTGGGGGCAGCTGGGCTGGGGGAACAGGGGCTGAGATCTCTCATGGGAGGGGAGAAAAGGGCCAGAACTTCCACATCCTCCAGCTCTGGAGGGGCTGGGAGCTGATGCTCAGGGCTCCAGGTCGGGGCAGGATCCCCTTTCTGGGGAGTTATGTACCCCCTAGGCTACACCAGAACCCCCCTGTACATCCTCCTGCTGTCAACATTTACCTTCCTCAATAAACCCTCAGTCCCCATCCCACTGTGTTTTGGTTCCCCTGACTTGGCCTGGCTGTGTTTGGATGGAGCAGGGGGATGCAGGAGGGAGGGGGGTGAAGACCCTGCCCCAGAGGAGCCAGGATCCACATCCAGGAGCCAGGATCTGCATCTGGGGGTGCAGGCCCTGCCCAAACC